TTTCGGATAATAGACGGCTCGCTCCGCTCCGGTTCGATCCGATTCGATTCGATTCGGGTCGGCGACCTTTATTTTCGAGGGTTGCGCGAGAGGTTCCGGCGCGGAACGAGCTCGGTGAACGAAAAAAAAAGAGGAAAAAGGAAAACAAAAAAGGGAAAAAAAGAAGGCGGGCTGAAAATGGTCGCGAGCGAGAGAAAGAGAGAGAGAGAGAGAGGTGTCGCGGGCCAACGTGCTCGCGATTTAATGAAAACGATAAATTCCTCCGGTATAAAATAAATTCCCGATCCCGGGAGCCGCGGCGAATTACTGCCGGGACAACGGGACCTCGAAGTGGATGCCCTTTGCGCGATATTTACGAGCGGCCGGCCCCGTCGAGAAAAATTACGCCGTCGAAATTAACGCCGCGCGCTGCCGGTTCTTAATTAATCTTGAGCGCCGACCGAGAGCCCGGCCCGTGCAACCGGATCCCGGCCGCGAAATACAATTAGCTGCGCTTTATCGCGCGAACGAAAACCCGGACCGCCCGGCCGACCCGCTCCGTCTGACCACGCGCGGGCCTTTTCTACTGCAAGCAATGCACCGCGCGAGAGAGCTTCTCGCCCGGCTTCTCGGCCTCCTCTGACCCATTCACAGGCAGCTTTCGCGATCATCGTCGACGGTTCATATTTCCTTTGATCGCTGAGAAGAACCCCGACTCGAACTGTGGAGACCGTTCGAACTTGTTGGACCTCGGAGAACTAAAGTAAACTAAATGGAAGTAGCTTAGGTTTCTCGGTTATTTTTAGTAGATTTGGTCGTCGACCAGTTTTTATACGACGAATTTTGTTATATTGAACGAAGCTTACTTGGATTTGTCAAACTAACAGAGTTATTGTTATTATTATTATTGTTGTTATTATTAGTATTATATTAATATTATATTAATATTTCCAGTGGTTAATTTTGACTTCCTAATTTCGGTTTCATTGATTAAATTTCTTTAACTTTCGTATTGCGAGAATTTTTGGGATTGACATTCGGTGCTTAACTTGTTAATTGTGTTTCAGCTATGGTCGACCAGGATTTTATTAAAAAAATATATA